GACAGTTTTGGAACATACCAGGGATACACAACCACCATTTGGCTTCAGATGAGTGGACTATTATAAAGGAAATGAGACACTGATGTACTTTTCCAATTACAAAAGCTTGAACTTTACGGGCATAACATTAGATGATGTCTTAATTAGTGATGGTGAAGATCATATATGTGACATAAACAAAAGAGATGCTTTTTAACAACAATTTAAAAAATGAGAAAAAAAATATTCAGAATATTTTGAGAAAGAATTAACTGATTCCAAAAAGTAGAATAATGAAAGCCGAAAGGCAAAAGAAGGATGTGACGTAGATACTGGAGTTACCTGCAAATGTCTCCCTTTGCCAACCAGAAAGTATTTATTCTGTATAGTTTGCTGTATCCTTGTTTCTTCATGTGCACTGAATGATGCCCTACCAGCAGCACTACATCTGCATTAAACTGCCTGATTATAATGCTCTCTGAGCACTGCCCACCCATCAGTGCCTGCTTGTCCTTTCTCAAGCCAGACACATTTGTCCACATTTACTAAATCTAAATCTAAATCTAAATCTAAATCTAAATCTAAATCTAAATCTAAATCTAAATCTAAATCTAAATCTAAATCTAAATATCTATGGAAAACATAGGCATTGAGTCTTAACTGTAAGTGGGCAGCTTTGCCATGAGGAAGCCTGCTACCTGCATGCCCTTTTTAAAACTGGCAGACAAAAAATGCAGTGGCCTGTGCTCTTTTTGTTCTCACCCCTGTGTGACCCACACCTGCAGGAATCTTGGGATGGGAACAACATAGTGGTGGGTGCTTATCCAGGAACCACCATGATTATCTCTGACTTTAAAAGCCTGAATCATATAGGATGTGTGGGAGCTGCAGAAGGACCTCTGTCTCACAAGCTGACAAAAAAGCAAATTAAAAGAATGAAGAAATGGGTGTTGGGTGTAAGGGGAATTGGTAATGGAGAGGGGCTCTAAGGGGAGGTGGAGGGTTACATAGTGTTTTTTTTCCATTCATTCCTGTGCCCAGGGCTCAGCAGGAAAACAGTACTTCTTGATTTCCACCCTATCTCTGTTTTTTCACCTTTGAAATCTGGTTATTCTTAGCTCACTAGGTTTAATTTGCTGACCTGACACGAACATATCCATCTTTCATGTTGATCCTGGCTCGGACTCAGCAGAAACACAAGAGTGGAAAATAACCCTTCTGACAGCTAGACAATGACACTGAACCAGTTCAGGAGAAATGGAAGGTGGTCATGGGTACATAGAAGGTCTCTGTCTACTCACAGTAGACCACAGTTTAAGAGCAAAAGAGTGGGTGTTTGTGGGCATGTGAGCATGGATATGCAGACACCAGTGGAGAAGTTGAGATAGGTGCTTTTCTACTCATCAGCCCTCATTGCTGTACTCTCTGCATCACTGCAGGAGCTGACCTTCATCGGGAGAGACCTTCTGGAAGGATCCGCTGGTCAGGAGAGGGAACGAGAAACCTCCTGCAGGAAAGGGAAGTCAATCTAGTTCAGGAGAAGCTCCTGGGAGAAGGACAGGCGTGGATGGAGGCAGGAGGGCCTCCCACTCCTGTCGCTCACCCTTCCCGTGCCAGCCCTGCTCCATCTGCTGGCAAGAGCCATGCGGAGCCGCTGCTGTTTGCCCGCGGGATCCAGCCCCTCCTGTCCTCCTCCCGAGCCCACATTCCCTCCACGTCTTCATTTCATCTGACACAAGTGCCGAGGGAGAGAAGAGCAGAGCCTCCCCCAGACACAGGAGGGAGAACAACCCTTATTTTTGGATCCCTGCTTTCCCATGAGTTTCCCTCTGTTTTAGCCTCTAATATGTCATCAAAGTTACAAATTAAGTACTCTGCATGCCGTGTATTTACTATCTGATCTGATGGCTGGGAAGTTGACTCCCCTGCTCACCTGTGGTCAGTCAAACCCAATGGAAATACCCTGCAAGTCCCCTGAGGCTGCCCATGGTGATACTGGTGGGAATGGAGTGAGATGGCAGCACCAGCTGCTGCCTCAGCCAAGTGCCCAGGAAACCAGGGTACAGCTCTGAAAGGTGTTCAGACGAAACAGGAGTCCTTTGGCTCTTTGCTTTGCTGCTCAGCACTTTGCAAGGGTATTATTTTGGCTCTGCCTCCATTTTTCCCTTGCCTACTAAGTGTTTAAGAGAACAGGCTGAGGAAAGCTCTGATATTTTCCAAAATATGAAAGCAACATGGAAGCTTTTGTCATGTATGAACCTGCATGGCATTGTGAATTTGACTTACTCTTTGTTCCTGGAGATGCACGGTGATCACAGCTCCCCTATGGAAGGGTTTTTCAGCTCTGGCAGCACGGGCATTAAATGCTTTTTCCTTTTGTCTTGCCTTCTGCTTTTGGGAAATCATCTGCACCTGGAATTTGTGTCTCTTTTCCATATGGGAAAAGAAGTGTGTTCATCCCACTGTGGTCCCTACATATGGCAAGTCTTTCAGCTCTGGGTTACAGGCAGTCAGGTGAAGAGGGTGGGTTCAGCTTCCCCACAGCAGCTGGGTCTCAGGGAGGAAAGAAGGGCAGCCAGCGTCAGACCAGTGATTACAGAAAGTTTAGTCTCCAGTGGATTTCCCTATTCCAGTGAAACAATGGGAGGGTCTTGTGCTGTATTATCTGTGCTTCCTCTTTATTCTGATATTATCTGTGAATTCTTGCAAATAATAGATGACTGAGACCATTGTTGTTTTGGGAAGTAGGAAGATGAAAACATTTCATGGGCCTTAGCAGTTTCAATAGAGTTATTCATGGTGTTTGTAGTTATGCAAGTCAGAAACAAGCAAAATACCTGTTGGAATAAGTAATAACCCTGTGCATTCACAAAAGCAGTTCTCTTAACCTCACTTTTAATAAGAGAGACTGTTTCAGTCAAACAAGTGCTAGAGAGTTGAAAACAAAAAAGGAAAGCAAACATTACTCCACTCTTAATGCCGTAAGATTTTGGGAAGCAATCAATCCCAGCTCTTCCATGTATCTGCTTTAATACAGGCATGCTGATATAAATTGCATGATGGTGATTAATAAATCTTCTATCGATTGAACTTGAAGTCAAAAGAACATACTTTTTTTCTTTTTCTTTTTCTTTTCTAAACCTGCATTAAAATAGATTATTCAAAACTCTTGGAATGAAAAGTGCTAGGTCAAAACTCACATTTTTCTAGCAAGTCTATGAAAATTTACTATAAAAAAGTCACATACTGTAGAATATCAATTATCCTGGAAGGCTTATCCAGGTTATGGCTTAAGTGTGCTATTCATGTGCTGCCAATTTGCTCTAGAAGTACAAGATGAGATGTAGTGCCTTGCAAAGCAGCTGAACAGTTCCCTGGGCCAGCTGAAATCCAGAAGCCATTCAATGGATTGATTTGGGTGCAGAAGTCTTGCAGCTTCCCTGCAGTCCCATGCAGAGCTTCTCAGAGTTGGAAGCCACAGAGCCATGTGGGTCCTTTGCAGCTCTGGCAGGACTCAGAATCTGCCTCTACATCACGAGCTCCTCATCTGGGAAGTGTTCTTGGTTTACAAACCTTGCCCTGCAACTGCACAGAGATGGCTGTGGCATGGGCTTGCACAGAAGCCACCTATGGATACCTGCATCACTCATGTATTATTAATTCCTGTTACTTAGGACCTTTCCTTCTCTTCTTCACCTTAAATAAAGGAGACCTGTTGATATATCCATGGGTATAATACCTTCTGGTCTTGGTAGAAATTCTCTGGTTCATTGTACATTAACATTTTTGATATTTTTTATGCATAAGCAATTAATAAAAATTGGGCAAAACTTTTTTTTTTTTTTTTGCTATATTCTGGACAGATTATGATTTTTTTTTCTCTGTGATGTATTGTTGAAACTTGCTACCCACAAGGACTAATTACTAAGAGTAGATTTTACTCTGAAAGGAAAACTTTCTTTAGTTTGCACAGCCTTGTGTTAGAAAAACAAACATTCACAGTTAAGCAAATAGGGCCATGCTCCCAAAGGGGTTTTTTGTGATTCTCATGGCATTTAGTGATTCTATTGATCTCCTAAATTCAGGGCAGAAGGGACTGTGTAAGAAACTTCACCTCTAGTTTTCAAAAGAAATACCTTGTTTTTGGGAGCAAATGCATAAATGAATGTTTGAACACAAGGGTAAAAACAGAACATGCAATTTAGGCTCACCTGGCATGTGTCTGTTAATGTGGGCAAAGGTAGTTTGTGAACTGAAAGCCTGAATAGGGCAAACTGCTTCAGAATAAAGCAGTGTTAGGGTGAAGTGCATGTCCAGCACGGGGAAGGGGAGTTACACAAGAGAAGCTACTCTGCAGCAACTCCCAATGTGGATAAGCCCTTAATTACTTTTAAAATCTCAGCATTACTAAGCCATGCTTATAATTTCTAGAGGCCTTGAGTTTCTGGAACAACTGGAGTATGAGATTTGATTGCATTCACTTCAGTGGAGGATACAGTTAAGTATCAGCATGTTTGCAGGCTTGAGGCCAGTCATTAACTAATTAGAGTATGGGAACATTTAAATTTTTCCCATCTGATTTTTCAAAGCTATTTGGCAGCACTTGTTTATGAGCTTTTATTTTTTACTTTTTCCCTTTTTCCTTCACAGAAACCGAAGAACCCCCACCAGAAGCAGAAAGACAACTGGAAGTAAACTAACTTCCCATTTTCCCCTTGCCAGAGATAAAAATATTTACTGAGTTTTATGCCTTTTTAAATTATTATTTGTAATGCAGACATACACACATATACTTTTTTAAAAATAAACATATTAAAGGTCTCACAGTGTTAACTTCCTTTGCGGCCTCGCAAAGCCTCCTGTCCCAGCAAGAGATTATCAGACGAGAAGGCAGGGGGTGGTCGCGGAACTACAGCCCCCAGAGGGCGTGGCGGGGGGCAGCCCACGGGGACCGAGCAGGGAGGCGCGGAGACTCCTGGGAGTTGTAGTCCCGCGGCCCTACCTGGCAGCTGTCCCAGCACCTGTCTGTTACGTGAGGCGGCGATGGCTCCGCGCCCCGCTGCTGCCCCCAGGCTGCTGCCAGGCAGCTGCGGCTGGCACCCCAACCAGGAGCCGCTGGAGGAGGCACGGGACGCCTCTGAAGGTAAGGATCTCCTGGGATTTTCTGTGTAAGTCCTGCGCTCCATCCTAGTCCTCCTTGCCCCGTGCTTTTAGCTGGGAAGCTTTGCCGTGCCGCTCCTGTGGCGCATCCTTGGGCGAAAGCATCGGAGTTTGGCTTGGCTGGCGCTGTCTGCAGAGTCAGCCTGTGCGATCGGGGTGAGGTGCCATGTGTTGGCTCCTTTAGGTAAAGGTTAGTGGGATAAATAATCATGCAGTCTCAGAAAAAGTGAGAGTTGGAATCCTACTGCCCTAGAGGGCTGTAAATCTTTCTCTAGTGAATAAGGGTCTTATAGCATCCAGCTTTTTGCTAAATTTAATCTTGCCTTTAAAGTATTTTTTTTTCCTTTTTCCTTCTTTTTCCTTTTACGTTGACTTTCTAGGCATTAGTAGAGAGAAATGGACATATACACGTTTTGCATATGTGGCTGCAATAGACTGCCTGTGTACATTTCTCTCTTCCAGTGTATCTGCTGTTTCCTCAACCAGAGGCAACTCTAAATTTCAGGCTGCTAAGATCGCTACAGTGAAAATCCTTGGAAATGCTTCAATTTTACCCTGATGTTTAAGAAAACAGAGCAGTGGTGGGATAGCAGAGGGAGGAGAAATGATTTTGTGTGTGTCCTGGGTAAGGTAAAACACTTCTGAACATTTTGGCTGTGACCATCTGGCAAGCAGGCACCTGGGAAACTATTCCAGCCTTGCTGTTGGTCCTTACACCTGAGTGTAAATTTGCCAGAGAGTTGTGGTAAATACCTTGCAAAAGGACACGCTGCAGACTTCTCAGGGCTGACTGTACATGAGATAATAAAGCCCTGTGTGTAAAGACTTGGTTCAATGACACAATTATACCCTTGTGGTCTTTTCCTACAAATAATTTACTTATTATTCTAAAGACCATAGGTTTGTTGTGTGCATTACTTATGGTCAGACTGATTGTCAGCTACTGGTACTGGGGTGAAGCAGCAGGCAGTGAACAGGCTGAAAATTGTGGGAGCAGAGTGGGAGTTTTTAGCTAAGTCTACTGGTGGAAGAACCCTATTTAAATAAAAAAGGTGAATGTGAAGACAGGGGACCCTTCTAGTAAAGGTGTCACCCAAGAGAAGATCTGAAAGGCAGTTCTCAGTCCTGCTGGGAATTGTGTTGGCCTTTTAATGGCAATTAAGTAGCTTTGCTGTTGGTCTCTGCAGAAGTTGCCAAATGCTGAACTGAACAGGTCTGGACAAGGAGGGAATTCCCTTCCTGTTGAGAGGCTTGGCAGCTCTGGGTCAGTGAGAGGTATGGTTTTGGGCGTGTCAGGCTTGCACACAGTGGCATCAGGACTGCTGTCATGCAGAAAGCTGAAGAGCTGGTGTCCTTCATGAATCAAACATGCAGAAAGGTTAAATGCAGCGCACTTAGATCTGAAATGAGGATGATGTAGCTAGTGTCAGAGGTGTTGGTAAGAAGTTCTAAAGCTTCTACCAATTAATCGATTACCTTAAAAATCCTAGCAGCTGTAATGGAGAGGTCTCACGGGCTGCTTTCCAGGTGAAGTTTTTCATGTCCCTCATAGACCAATTAGTGGCACTGCTGATATATTTGTAATAGAAAATAACTTATGGGCACATCTGAATTGAAATAGAAATTAATTTATAGGGGCATCTCAATCTGAAAGCATTCCCTACACATTCAAAAAACTTTCTTAAGTGTGCACAAGACTGATATAAAAACCAGAGATCATACCTGCACGCAGCCTTGCTGAGCTTTGAGTGTTTGTCTGTACATGGACAGTACACATGGCAGCTTAAGCCAGGGGGTCAGAACTCCTACAGGAATGTCTCCAGAGAAATGTGATGGCTGAGGATGCTGCTGATGGGCAGGTGACCAAGGAGGAGAATGGTGGTAGTGGCACCAAGCCCTGTGCCCCCTCCCTCCTGGTGCTGAAGGAGGATGGACCTCCCTAGTCTACCTTTCCCCATCGGACAGTCAGGCTGCAATATTTAAAACAGTCATGGATTTCCCTGTTTACCCAAGATCAGCACTCCTCCCAAATAGCAATTATGTTGGTTTAGTTTTCCTTTCCTCATACACATCAGAAATCACACAGCATGATATGGCTAATGGGATTATACTGACCCACCTCTGCAGTTGCTATTAATATCTGAAGAAATCCCCAAATGCCTCAGTGGTAGTATGGTTGCCTGCCCATCTTTCTCTTGCCAAACAGAGATGGGTTTTTTACAGTAAGAAATTCACTAATTACAAGCAAATTTTACTTCTTGGTAGTGTTAAGAAGACAGGGACCAGATTATATACAGCAGAGAATATATATGGAATATCTGATTTTGCATGGATAGCAAGCTGATTTGCAATGTCATTTAAACAGCATCCTAACAGCCAAGACGTTTTTAAAAACAAAGAAGGCTGAGAGAAATTGAGGGGGCTCATGTCTTTTTCTTGCTGACCATAGAAACATAACCCACCCTTTCTAATAAAAGTGCATTTGAAATTCAGCCCTGGATCACAGGGCAGTAAATTTCAATTGCTGGGTTTATGTCATCATTGCAATTGCAGTAACTCTGTAAAGCCCAAGATGAAAAGTTGCTCTTTCTGCTCTGAGCTCTTTCCATCCTCCACCTTTACAGCAAAGGTTACCCTGAGCAGTGTGTGCGTCTGTCTGCTGTAAGTGTAGAAATACGTATTATTCATAACTTGCCAATGTGCATGCTGGAAAAAAAAAAAGCTGAATTTATAGCTATATTTCCTCTCTGCTGGAGTTTTTAGAGTTGTGTGTTTCAGTGTTTCCATTATAAACCCCTGTTTTCTGAGGTTTATAACAGTCTTGAAGAGCGGAGTGGTCTTGAACCATAATAGAAAGTGTGTTATGTTGCATTTACAGTACAGCTGTAACTGCACATTAAGGAGTGTAATCTTCTCAGTGTACCCTCAGTGCTCCAATAAAGTTCATTGGAGTTACACATACTGAGAGAAAAAGTATTTTATGTTTGGAGTTGGTGCTCTCCATCCACAGAGCTGAGTGCATCACATGAGGGCAGAGACAATCTACCTGCACCAGACTTCCAAAAATTCTTTGCTACACCCTTAAAATATTCATGCATCTGTGGAGTCTCCCTCTGAATTACAGCTCATCATAGCCTCTCTTTGTCCCTGGGAATTTCTAGTTAGCCTGAGCTGCCACATACAGAGCTGGGACTCTTGAGGAGAAAGTTCCCCATACCCTGAGAAGGAAACATATTTTCTTCTTGTGCTAGTCCAGCTACAATATTAAGGCTGGGCTTATCTGCCACTTGGTGGGAGGCATCAAGGTAGGAAGGAGTCTGGACACTGTAAACTTTAGTCTCAGATCCCAACTACAGTGCACTTTGAGAGATGAAGTTGAAAGGAGTGTCAGCAGGATTGAAGTCTTGTTGAGAGTAAGTTTTCCTTGCTGTTTCAACTCATAACATCAGGTTATTTAGTCTTCCACTTAACCTTTCTTCCCTTGGCTAATAGGTCAGCTTATTGAGTTCATGCCCTTTTGTAAGTATTGCTAGCCTCAAGCATTCCAAAATCACAGATTTACTCTCAGAGCCATGAAACTGCAGGAAAAACATGCAATTTTTAAATTGAGCAATTAAAATAGTTTAATTAGTATTTTAGCCCTGATCCTTTGAGTTTCACAGCTTCTGAGCACTTTTTTCCTAGCTTGGAGCTTGACAGTCCTTGCCCCCAGTAAAACCTGCATTTATCACAATTGCACAAATGAACAACCAGCACTGTAGCAAAAAACTCAACTAAACCAAGAGTTCAGAAAGAGCTTGAGGTTTTGAAGTGCTGGTTTTGTGATTGCATAATTTCAATTTTCTTCCCTTTTTCTTTTTTTCTCACTGCCCTCACCAGTTATGCATGTCTGTGTTACAGCATATCTGCTGAGAATGAAGCTGAAGGGGTTTCTGATTTGGTGAATAAGTGTACAAGTGGTCAGAAGAAAAGTCTGCAGTAAGAAAGCCCAATGAATGGGAAGGCACAAAAGGCTGAACCAGAGTAAAGCTACCCATATGTTGCATGTGCTTCCCTGCCACGTACAAGGGGGCTGCAATTTGCACTTTAGTTTTCTGTGCTCCCTTTCATATGGGTAAGAAGGCCTTTGGGAATCTCTGGCATGATCTACCAAGAATTATTCATCATGTGATGCATACATTTAGGCAGCAGATACACTCCGTACAGGAGCATGAGTGAAAATATGGCATTTATACTGTCCCTGCATTTGCCCCATAGGGTGAAGTTTGGATGTGTCTTCCTGCCCCAGCTTTGCTTGTTCCAGCACCCCACACATTTTATGTTTTTACTGCAATCTGAGAATATTCATCATGGTCGTTCAGAGTGCAGTTACTGTCACTTTGAAATGCTTATCATGGGGAACATTTTCAAGGCAAGAGAGGCAAGAGGGCAACAGCTTCCCCGGCCACATCTGCAGGAGTCAGAGCAGCATTACCAAACCCTGCATGTGGTGATTTCCAGGAGATCCTGTGAAGGGATGTTTCTGCATCTTAAGAAGTGGTTCTGTAGATGCCACTAAAGAATTGCTGGGGAACTGGTCCTCAGTGATTCCTTTTGGTGGCAGTTTGAGTTTCTTCGCAGTCAGGTTGCATTCCTACATGTGGACGCAAACTAAGAGCTTCTGGGCTTTTTTTGGGGATGAGAATTATTGCTGTGGCAAGAGTATTAGTCTGACTTGCTTCATTGCCACCCTTCTTTTTCCTTTTTGCCAATTTACTGCCTCTTCAATACAGAGACTAGTGGCAGTAGTGAGATGTCGTACCTGTTCTGGTTTTGGCATGTTTGTATAATCTAATGCATTCATTTGCTCTCTCTTTTTTTCTGTCTTATTCATCTCAGAGGGACAATTGCATCCAAACCTTCTGGTTTAGTTAGAGATAAGGCATAAAGGGACAGCTGATACTGCCCAGAGTTCCCAGATGGGAAGAATTCTACATTCTTGTC